TTTTTTTTTTTTTTTGGGAAAGAACAACTCGATCAGATGCTAGGTGTGCTGATAAGAGCAGACACGTCTAGCACCGTCAAAGAACAACCCGATCAGATGCTAGGTGTGCTGATAAGAGCAGACATGTCTAGCACCGTCAGTTGGTTTCTTTTCTTATCGCAGATCGTTTGCCCTAGAACGAATAGCCATACCTGCCCTAGAACGAATAGCCACACCTGCTCCAGTAGCCCCCCCCTCAATCAGCCCATTGCGATGGTTGGAAGACTGTTATTGCAATCCTACGGAAGTCCTCTGGAACAAGGAAACATTGAACATGATGGCTGCTGGACACTGGCAATGATTAATTCTGGACAAGGCTTTCGAGGACATGAAGGAGGTTGCCCCTTCTGGAGAAAGTTCCTCCAGCACGCGGAGAGGAAGTCTATTCTTAGCCATTCGTTGGAAATGGATGGATCATGGATGGGTGGGGGTGGATTCTGTCTAAGTTCAAATGAAGTCCTTGGAAGGGATGGGTAAGTAAGGGCTTCCTAAGGGTAGGGGACTTTGGGATCGGGCAGGTGGCCAGTGGAAGACTATTCATCACCTTCACTGGGCCATGAGATACTGCCATGATCTGCAACTGAAATTTGGATGAGTTCATTGCCTGTATTATTCCTCTATAGACTTCGCCAGAACAGAACGCCTGGCCATTGTTGCCGCATCTGGGCTGAAAGTTGACCCAAATACAGCTATACTGACTGGGCGTTCTATTTGGGCGAAGACAGTTGCTTGGATCGCGGTTTTCCGAAAGGGGTACCAAGTACTACAAACCTGCAAAAGGGAGAATTGGTGGCCTTGAGAAGCTTTCAACGAACCTTGGGGTTGTGTTCATGAGATAAGGAGCAGGCAAGTATTGCTTGAAGACTTGTGAAGTCTTGAACCCTTTTCCTTTGACGATAAAAATAACGGCCTGGAAAGGCAATCTTCAAAATATTTCAGCAGGGTGACATGGGAGGACCTTTTAGGGTGAGAGTTATGGGATGGACTGATGTGTAGTTTTCTTTTTTCCCTGAAATCTCCTTCGCTGATTTACCTTGGGATCTTGATACCCAGAACTGGTTGAGGATGGGCCATTATCAGAAGAAGTTCACAAAACATCTGTGCAATTTCGACGTTCAATCTACCCAGTACCAGTTACTGAGCAAAAGAAGAGATTTAAGGAGCATCATTATAAAATTTCACGCAGAAGGACTCAGAATGAATGGATGAATGAACGAAAGAACTGTACGGCATACAGCTTCGAGCATGAGAATGGAAGAGACAAATACACCCATAGCAACCATTCCATTATGCACACTCAGAAAGAGCCACAAAAAGAAAACCATAACCATCAGGAAGCATCCTTAAACCACCAGTACTTGGCCCAGCTATCGGCCGTGGAAAAAAAAGAGTAGAAACGTTTCTACTCGGATGCATTTGGGTGCTACTGTAGTGGCCCGTACGTTTCCTAACATTGTGGCTTGTTAACGGGCACAACTTTAGGAAGTACTGGCGGTTTAAATAAAGAGAACGAACACCAACTCTCCAATCTCCCACGCAGCCAATCCTCTAGGTGTTTCTACTACCCCCCACGTAGTATTGCAAGGAAAATGAGCAATCGCGAGATGACAATATCCAGATTGCACAATCACATTGAAAGCCAGAAAGTATCACGGTGTCCAGAAAGCAGCATTGCGCCAATATCACACCAATGGAGAATCGTAACACTGAAAACCGAATGTCAATGAGAGCTTGCTCTCGCCACCACCAACATAAGTGTCCAGGCCCTTCTCCCTACTTGGCGCTCGGCGCCCAGCCTACTCCCTACACAGCTACTATCTGCCAACTAATTGACAATGCAACTGTTGAAGTCAGCAGCCAACGAAGTACTTGAAGATGTCGACCGATGCAGACCATTGCCAATACCAGGTATGTGCCCTCACATCATCATCATCATCATCCTTCTCTCTCTCGCCCTCGACTTTCACCCATGTCTTCCCTCTGTACACCCGAAGACCACCCCTGTGC